CAATTACTACACTGCAAGTCAATATCATATGTTATACACGATGAATGACAACGTTAGCATGATCAGATTTGGATCTGGCTTATCACACATCGCTGTCACGTATTCTACGGTGCACCTCTTGCATTTCCATACATGTATGCTACGTATGCAGCCTCAGCACTGTCAAGGTGTTTTCGCTAGCACTTTAAGAAAAGTAACATTATGAAAGTTACATTTTATTTTAAACTGTTCATTCCATACCAACGCTCGAAATGAATTGACTTTTCAAGCTTCTACAATTTATCCCAATTTCTCTAAACTTACAGACCAAGAAAAAACTATTCTTCTTTTAACTTCCCAAAACCCACAAATTTTGGAAAAGGTGGGACATTACGTCTTCCATGGTTTACAGAAGAGAAGTCAAACCCTTCAGACATAGTTTTAGACATAGTTATAGTTCTAGACAGCTAACGTTATCATGTAGACTTTAGTTATTTTATACCCTATTCCATTGTTCTTTTATGTTTTGTAATTTGCAATTAGCCCCCGGGCAAGAATTTGCAATAAACGTTTCTATGAAAGTTACAGCCAAAGCGATCTTATACTTTGATGCAAATAGAAATGTTGGTAATCATAAAATACACGTACGATAAAGTATTATCTTATAACTGTTATATTTCTAAACACACATCACAGAATTGTTGCGAAATATTTCTTGTCGTGTATTACAGAGTATTCTTTGTTGCAATTGTTACAACATACATCTTGTTGCAACTTGTGCATCCTTTTAACGGATATTCTATAATTCATGACCAATGGCAAAATGAAACAAAAGACTATCTTCAAGATGTTTTGGGTTGATATCAGATAACTAGTCTTAAGGGCGGATTCGACGGAGAGTATACATGATCATGTGTACGTGTAAAACCTCACATAGACCATAATGTAACACGTAGGAAAAGTAGATTGATCACTTGCGGTGAATGCGAGCTTGTGATTTGCGGCGACAGGGAAACATTATTTTCGAAGCGGCGGCATACACACGGGCCTGTTATGGTTCCCCGGCCGTGTAGGGGAATAAATTTCAGCGAAACATGCAAGCCACGAGCTACTGTTGACAAAGCAGTCGTAAAAGAGCCTCCATGGGTTTCCGGGCGGCCCACGCGACGTTTTGTCTGAACTTTCTGTATGTAGCTCGTACTTTTTTGCTGTGTACGGGTAGTCGTGGCAGACCACTTTGCACACTACTGACAGGCCATTGCCGGACCACGCACGGTCATGCATTGTAGATGGAGCGCGTGTCCCGCTCTGAAAACAAGGCAGACAAGTAAGCCTTTTCCCAGGCCTCATACTCGTCTATACGGCTTAGCCACTAACAGTATTACTAACACTCATGATACTTGCTTATTACCTCCATGAAAAATTCTGTCATTCCAGTGTTTTACATCATGGGGCTTTGATACATGTAATGTTTATAATCTATGGCAGGTGGAATATCACCAGATACCAATTATGCAAATACGGACCTAATTTGCATAATTAATCTGTGAAATTCTATGACTCCTCAGTGGTAAATGATGGGAATTTCATACTTGGGACATGTGTAGGTTAGTCAAAAGTTAACATCACAATGCATTTATTATGTTAATGGTGAGGTCATTTGCATAATTAGAGAAGAAATTTACATTTACATGTGAAGCCCATATAACGTTATACTTCATGGAGGTATGACATCTCGGAACTCTTGTTTCTGATTGGTCCTGCCACTGCCATATAAGCATTGTGTCAACCTGCATGTACTTTCTCGCGAAACCTAGATATATAATGCTACATGTACTTGACAAAGCTGATTCCATACCGCGTGTGGGTTGAGAGTACATTTTCAAGTACGACATAAACTTGAGTCCTCTGAATAACCTGTAGTCTAGAACTAGTCTGACTGACCTGATACATTTTCCGTAGTGACGAAAACACGAGTAACTTGAATGTCGGTGTCCATATCATGATGTGAGGGGCAGAGTTTGTCAATTGAAGTTACATGGCATTTAAATTGCTGAAGATTTTCAACCTACCTAATCTGTCCCACAACCTGACCTGGTTACCTGATCATCTAGTGTTTACCCATTCTATTAGAGGTTCATTGCACTCAGTAAGCCGTGTTAGGAAGTTATAGGAAGATAATTAGATTTCGCTTCACCACGTCCTCTGCTAATACCATTAGGTCTTCACAAATCGGTGCAGGAAGAGAGGATGGGACAAGGTGAAGGTGACTAGGTACTGGGTACGTCACCGTGATCATGGCGTGATGTGTCAAAAATACGCGTCGGGATTCTTACCGTCTCTACGACAGGACTAAATGGAGGTTGGAGAGTTAAGACTTATCAATATGGGGTGCAACTACTTGTAGTAAGGAGTCGTGTGGCGTAACGGTAGAGTGTTCAATTCCGAACCAAGTGGTCCCGGGTTCGAATCCTGCCCGATCTTGTCACCGATCACCCTTGAGAAAGGCACTTTACACGACTTTCCTCACTTCACTACCCCATACAAAGACAGAGATATTCTATATGTTACTATCATGCCCTGTCAACATTTCCACTTAAGTAGGCCAATTTGTACACAATTCCATGACAAAACGAGAAAACGTAATTAATTCCTGACACAATTTATTACTACATTGTATTAATAGAGTTAGATTAGTATAATTAGTGTCTCTCTTTTGTTATACATTGTTTATGAAGCAGACCAGATTCCTATTATAGTTAGCAGAACTGTTAGATATTCTCAACACCACCATATGTGTATGTTAACACCACAAACTATGTATGTATCATTTGTCCATGCGTTGTACCCGCTACATCTGTTGCGCAATAAAGTTCTTCTTCTTCTTCCTCTTCACTCAAAAGTGGAAATGAGTACCTAGCTACGTTTAGGGACGTCCTCTCGGATAGGACGTTAAATGGAGGTCCTTTCAGACATGAAGTTTTTCCGCAGCCAGTTGTGGCGTGACTAGTTCTATTGTTTCTACCAAAGGTGCAGGAAACCGATAGGTTATTACAAAATACGTACTTGTCTGAAAAGGTAAACGTATGAAGCATGAATCATTTTCAGTCAAGAGCCGTACTTTTTCAGAGCAGACGCGACGATTTCAACTGACGGCTGTCTCGGTCTACTTAGTATATATCCTGTATTTGTATCACTCTTAGTACACGTCTAGACCTTATACTTCCAAATGCAGCCTTGTGTGTCGGTGACTTGTTGCGGTTCATAAAAGGGTTGCGTTTGGTGTATTTTTGCGTACCCTCGTCTTATGTAAGTGTACAATTTTGTTTTCATTCCAACATTTCATGACTAGACATATCTGTTTGAAGATGGATCATTCCGATCACGTTTTGTACCTTTCATTGCCACCTGACCCACATAGCTCAGCGGGCCTTGACTCAGTCTAAAGAAGCGTATTATTTTGTGAGCCATGCGGGACCTGTCTTCGCGGGCTGAAGCCGGCGGTTTAATAATAATCACGCTTCGGCGGCGCTTGAACAGGGCTAAAAGCACTTATAGATCCACAGGTCGTCATATATACCTGCGGAGTTGTTTTCATTTTATCATGGTGTTTCAGCTGAGGTGTCTCCACACGCTCAGTGTTGGAGATAACAGGAGATTGGAGCGGTCTGATAACCTGGCGGAGTGAGGCAGAATATTAGCGGATTTGTAGATAAATACGATGCTCCTTAGAGTAATTCTAAGATGCTTTATAATGTTGTCTAAGGTAACGAAATACAAGCACATCTGCCCACGTAGCAGTTAAGAAAGTATATGATTGGTTAGAAGCATAAACGTTGATTTAAGTACCAGATTTCTTTTCTTGTTTCCAACCGACCTGATAAGATGTATACAGTACGAATGTTTCTCTCTCTCCCCTCTCTCTCCCTCACTCTCCCTCTCTCTCCCTCTTTTTTCCTCTCTTTACCTCCCTCTCCCTCTCTCTACCTCTCTCCCCCCTCTCTCTCTCCCTCTCTCTTTTAGATTGTAACAATTGAATTCTATATTCATTTTCACGACATAGAATCAACCGCAACAAGCAAGCTTTTTATATAGCTGGTTGCTGATGATATGGTTGATATACTTGTAATACTAGTATACAAGACCAGGACCTATCTGCATGTGAATCCGTTTCAAGTTGTTAAAAGATGGAAAATCCAGCAGAACAGAACAACCGTTGCGGTTCGGGTACTCACTTATTCTCAGAGTACATTAAGAGAGATCTAAAGTTAAGGACGTCGATGGCTGTCAAGCCGTAATACGGGAGACAATTCCCGACCTGAGCCGGTACACAGCCGGTACTAAGACGTACGAGGCACGAGCGGTGAGGTAGGCATTTCGTAGCCCGTCTACGGAGCGCAAGAGGATTGACCCTGCACGGCGGAGTAGCGCGAATTCCATTAGAATTACCCAGACTCGCGGAAAAACCTCGAGCGCTGGAGAGATCTCACTCAATCCGCGGGATAGCAGGTCGCAGGGCTCTGATACAGTAAGCATGAGAAATGCGCTCTCCGGGATTGGAAGTTCACCCAGTCAATGTAGCAAGAATTCATACCGGAGAGCACACTGTATTGGCAACTGAAATCCAAGTTCTTTGACGAAGATTGAGAAGCGTGGGCGTACGTCCCGCACTAAAAATGAGCAAACCTGTACATATTACACTTTCTCAAACGTCTAAACTAATGCAGTGTTATCGGCTGAGTTATTGCAAGACATTTTGGTGGCGTGGTATAATAATATTTACCACTGAAAACAGAGGGCGGAAAACATCAGCGACAAACTATTGTAGTAAATAAAGACCTGGGGGAAGGGGGAATGAATTGCTTCTTCTCTTTGAAGGTTTCTTTGTGGAGTTCAAAAACACAATCATCCTAGTAAGAGTAAAATTTAACCACATGACACACAGAACCTCTACCCGATAACTTGCAAACCAGCAAAAAGACATCCATATCACTCAACAGAATGGTTAATCAAGTGCCTACCTGGTTGAAACGGGCTATCAGAAGTTGGTCTGCGGCCCATGGGCACTCTGTTGGAGTGTTGCATGCGCACTGCTTTGCCACGGACGCCATCTTGAATTCTACAAGTTCCCCAGCTGTACATGTACGTAACAACAACAGGAAGGCTGTCTTAGTTATAACTTTCTTGCACGACAATTGTACAAGGTACAACGTATAGCAACGACTACTGAAGAAAGTACAAAAAGAAGAGGGTATAGAACAAACTAGAACGGCCAACATTTGCTTTGGAGCAAATTCAGCATGACTTCACCACATTTCACGACATGGCAGGGAAAGAAGGAGAAATACAAGGGAAAACAAGTCTTTACATTGATATAACTATAGTAGGAAGTGACAACCGTTAATTGCATAATGCAAACTGTTGATTTTCAAGATAAAAAGAAGCGTTTATGCCCCACATTCCAATACTGGAGCAGGAAAGCTTGACATACTTACCAAAACACTTGAATAAAGTTCATACTGTCAACATGGCATAGCTTTATACAGGTGTTCATTGAGTTAAAGCAATCAAATCCGAACAGCCAATCAGCAAGGAGAGTGGAGGAAAGCTACATGCCTGTTGGTTGCCTTCTCTACATACCATTCTGATGACTCATGCCAAATGTGGTAACACACTGCTTTCGTACATTTTCTATAACACAGCCATAAAGCTCAAATAAAACCATTCTAAAAGCCTGTATCACAAAAATGAAAAAAGAAACTGGGGGTATTTGCCCACTCTACCTTGATGCCGAATTTCATGTTATTTGGCCCAAAAATGAAGGAGTTGAATCAATTTAAAGAAATGGCAGGAGGAGGAGAAAAAGAAACGTCAGCAAAAACAATATGACATCACCACTATAGTGGTGAAGTCATAAAAATTAAAATCCTAATTACTAAACATCTAGAGATAATACTGTGTACAATCAAGTATAAAACTAATTATCAGTTTCTTTATGAAACTTACAACAGCAAGCGCGATTGTAGGCATGGTAGGTTGCAATCACACTCTACAATACGGTCGATTGTCAGGTGCCTACAACCTAAGACCTCACATTTCTTTATTTCATCCGCCCGCTTTAGTAGGACTCAGCTGGTCTTTCTTGCGTTATTTTCCTCGCACAGTTGGGAGAAGAGATAGTAGCAGAGGCGGAAGATCAGGACAGATAAGAAACGTGGAACATCTTCTGCGGATTCTTTAAAAGGCTTTCCTGTAATCGTTCCGAATTGCTTCTGGCGGTCATTCAATAGAAAGACTGAAGAAGTCAAATTTACAGTTTCCAACATCGATACCACAGGAGACGTGGGATACAATAGATACACAAAACTTTGAATAGAAAATGTGATCTTCCCATCCGTTAATTTTAAATATGTTTAATGAAAGGGCTACACATGGTATCTCTCTGAGACATTGAGGTTATCATAATTTCAAAACCTTCACGCCAAGTTTCGGTGCCGTTATGTAGATTTCCAAAAACACTCCATCGTATTTATGAATTTTTAATTTCCGCCAGACTCATAGATATCCTTAATAATTGACCTCCCGACATTACCATCGCTGGCAACGTGTTTGTGAACCTGAATCAATGACTGCACAAGATCACTTGACCGAGACGGTGAACGATATAAACTCCCTGGCACTTTTGATCAATTGCTTACGTCACGTATCCGTAAAGTCTCGTGTAAATAAGGTCACGTGTCTGTGACCGTAATTCTCACGAGATTACGTTTTGAAGCGATTGGTCATGCATTATCCTGATGAAGGCGACGGTGGTCGTTGAAAATTTGATCTCTGTGTAGTCCTCGTGTTGGAATAAAGTTCAACATTTTACTATATGATTACTACCGACCCAGATGAACTTTCATGATAGACCGCACAAGATCATTAAGACAAACTGGTACTCAAGCAACTGGATAGATTTTTTTAATCTATCAGACGCGTACTCGTTTCAAGTAGTACGTCGTAGAATCCACTACTGACAGTTTTCAAATTCTATCCAGTTGCTTGAGTAACAGCTTTCTTGTGTATTTCATTACATGGATGTGTAGCCTTAATCGACATGTATAACCTCCGTGAATGATATCTCATTTCACAGTGAGAACTACACGAGTCGTGATACAACGAAACGACGATAACACTTTACCCTCAAGACTGTAATATAAAAGAGACAACAACGCGCGAAATGTCAAGCCTGGGCGATAACCTTTCACAGATCAATAACGTTTTCAGTCTCTTTTAAGTATTGATGGCAGAGCGTGGTAAAGCCCGTCTCAGACGCTAATGCTACAGATACCAGCATGCCTTATGCATTAATGCCTTCAGTAACAAAGTTTATGTGTCTGTGTCTAGCTATTTCCAGTCAATACGATTGAGACAAACCATTTGCAAGACCTTGTACTTGTTTGATAATACTTGTAGAACCTGCTTATTATGTTTACTGAAGGAAAACATATTATTTTTGCTACGTTTTCTCTTCTTCTCCTTCTTCTCCAAAGCAAAAAGGTCAATGACCTAAACCAGACTGTCTGTTACCATGGTAACTAGTGTTGGGTTACATCACGTTGCAATTTTATAGCAGGAGGGATTTAGACTCCTGTCTGACAATACGAGTATGTATGAAATGTATTTGAGTAAGAATTAACAGAGCAGACCATATCGGAAGGTAAACATGATTCAGTTGCTTTGCAAATGTTACCTTTCTAGTGTTTTATTTTGTCTTTATATGGACACAAACTACGTACTGTGATTGTGAAGTTAGATAGATCCGGACAAGTCGTGTGTTTGGTGCTTGTCGTGAGAACAGGTCTGGCATGAGTGTAGCCTCTACCAGGCACCGCGGATGGCTGGAAAAATAGTAGACATTGGCCGAAATAAGTGGGTCGCAAATTGGAGCTTCTATGGCCCTGGATCTTCTCTGGTATACTATCCCTTTATTTCAGCCAATTTCTACTATTTCTCCAGCGATCCGTGGTGCCTGGTAGAGGCTGGCGTGAGTGAGCGATCTGCCTATTTCATGGGACAGGCGTGTGAAAGGCAGTGAGTTCCCGGCCACCTAATGGCGGCATGGCCGGCCATCATTGCACTCAAACGACCCTCGTGGTGGAGACTTATCTACAAACGGCTAATAAACCGTCCATTCCGGGCACACTGATGGTGCTTACGGGGTTAAAAATCAATGTGGGTCCGAAGATATATTCCGGTTTGACGCAGGTGAAACTGGACTGCACGGCTTAGCCTGGTCCTAATTTTGGGACCACTTGACGTCTTTCTCAGCTTTATGTCCTCAAGTATATGCCATGGCTGTACTGGGTCCCACTGATAGCTTCATTCCTTATACTAGTATGCCTTTAAGGTGACGGTGAGACAGGAAGTGAAAAAGGAAGAAGAAGTGTCAATGATTAAAAGTTCCCTGGAGTGAAGACAAGCCCAATTTTGCAACTGGATGGATCGACATAGTCAGGGGAAGTCTCTTCGTACGCTTTGATTCCAAAGCTGGCGGCTCTCTGACCTTTTCCCTTCTTAATGGGTGTTTTAGGCCTCTTATCCTCCCAAGAACGTCACGTGGAATCTTTCAACTTCACTCGCGTCAAGCAAAATTAAAGTTCAAAGGTGGCTGTTTTCGGGAGCGCCGTTGTGAATGTTGAAAGTGCAGCCTGTAATTAGATTAGTGCTAGTCCCTTTAGTTAGCACAGAACTCATGACTAGGCCACAGCATCTCAATTTTATGGATGACATCCTCCGTAGACTCCAACTCTAATGGCGATAGGGCGAATAAAAACAAGGCGGGCCAGAAAGAACAATATTCCTACATTTTCAAATTTTGACATCATAAACCTTGTTAAGTTTACTGCCAACTACATGTATTACAACATCCATTGCCACTACAAACTAAAAGTTTTCAATCATTGTACAAAAGGTTTTGGTTCAGTGGGAACATCACAAATAAAAGGAATGAAATCGCTGCATCAAAATAAAAGACAAAACATTAAATCAGAGCCTTGTCTTGCCTCCTCTCTTATTATCTATCTGCCATCCACGTTCCGGCAAGGCAATTGACATCTTTGCCCATTTTCAGCATGTTGACCACAATGTCAGATGGCAACAAAATTTCTTAGCATGAAAGTTTATCTGTGTTGGTACAAGTATACTTTAGGTAAAAAAAAATTGGGGTAAATCCCAATACTTTGTTAGTTAGTGTTGGACGTTAAAGCTTGGCCTTTAATTCATAAAATTTTTTTTCTACAAAATCAATGTGCGCGCTGATGTCATCCATAAAAATTACTTGCTGTGGCCTTAAGTCAAATTGAGCGGAGAGAAGAGTGATTGGCTCCCTTAGATGATCGGCTGGGATTCGCGGAGTGTTCCCCACTCAGCTCTCTCCCGTAGGCCCGGTTCTGAAGTTCAATCAAAGCGCTCCTGCGTCACTTAGATCGCGGCAAGTCAAGGGAATTAAATCCCTACAGACAGGCGGGAGAGAGAGTGGGTGTGAGAGATATCACACGAAGGGCACGTCGATTCTGAACTCTACACACTTCGGGGCGAAGTTGAAACAATACTGCTGCAAGAAAGTGGAATTAATGAATAGAGAAGGATGTGAAAATGGACGCACGTATAGACCTCCACTGTTGAAGTTACCGAACCTATTTTTAAGCCCCAGTCACACGTAGTACGATATGGTCTCCCGAACACTAGCTAAACTACCTGAACCACCCACGGCAACTAGCTTGGTGTAAATGAGTATTGTCCTGTCATGTATTTGTCCCCTGTGTTGGTGGCGGCATTAATATAAGTTGAAAAAACTTGAGTGTGTCGTCACCACGTCTGGTGATTACATGTTGGAATTAAAAAAAAACAAGCTTGGGTACCATCTGGATTTTCGCTCCGCAACGCTCGAACAACGGATCGAAAATCCGGATGGTACCCAGGCTACACGACAACCACCACACTCCCTCCCCAACCCCAGCCGGAATACATGTAGGGCGGGAGTAAGGTGGGCTGTTGTTCGGCCAGGTCAGCTACCAGCCAGCCGAATGTTTCAAAATGTTTAAAAGGTTCAATTGTTGACGGGAGGTTCGGCCATAGT